GGGGGGGGGTTGAGACCCAAAGGCCGGAGGGGACTAAGGGAGGGAGTGGTCTGTCCCGTGGCTCCCAGGTGCTCTTCAACCTGGGGGCCGCACAGTGCCGCCTGGGTCTCTGGGCTGAGGCCACCCGCAGCCTAGAGGAAGCCCTCTCCAAGGGGTCAGAAGGGGCCCGAGACCACCTGTGCACTGCCCTGGACCAAGTGCAGGTGAGGGGGGGGCAGGGAGGAAAGCAGGTCGTCCCCACCCCTTGGGGTTGTTGGTCCTATAGCCCACCTGCAGGGCTCATATCTATACAGGCCCCCCAAGACTTTCTAGAGGGAGGTGGCCCATGTGCCCAGGTGTGGGGGCTGGGGAAGGACTTCCCGTAGTCTGTGACAAGTGGGTGGAGGGGCCCCCTGAGACCACCGCCCTGGTCAGATGCTCAGGTCTGCGTTGGCCGGGCCCCCTCCAGAAACAGGTGCACCTGCAGCCTCGGCAGGGCCCCAGGGGTGAGGTCTTCCGGCCCCACAGGTGGCACCTGGAGCTCCTGGAACCAGTGGATTTCCTGGGCAAGGCCAAGGTAAGGGGGCAGCGTCTCCGTTCCCAGCCCAGGTGCTCAGGGGCCAGCAGCAGCCAGCAAGCTGGGGAGGGACCGGACGCCCCCAAGCTGCAGACATACGGGAGCTTCCTAGGTCAGAAGCAGTGTCTCCAGGTGGAGTTTACAGATCCCAGGCTCTTGGAACCAGGACACAGAGGCCACCAGAAGTTGGCTGCAGAGGAGGGAGCTCATGCCTTTTTGACGGGGACCCTCGAGGCTCCCCCGCCTGCCTCCACTTCAGTCATGCTTTTCTGGCCTCAGAATCTCCTTGGCTCTGTCTGCCTGCATCTCTGCCCCGGACAGTGAGATCTCAGGGAGCCCCGAGGTAGGCTGGCCCGGGCCACTTCATGCCTACCCCTTGGTCAGGGCCGGGCAGCACCACCAGAATCACAGAACACTGGGGAACACAGGGAAATAACTCCTGTGCGCACAAGGAAAATTCACATTGACTTCAAGCTGGTGGCCCTTGGGTTAGCCCCGGCGCCCCAAGGGCCGAGGTCACCAAGGGCCAGCATGCTGCATGTGACCATGTTAAAAGTGCTGGTGAAGTCACCTGCCACAGACACCTCATGTTCGCAAACATCTGCTGGTGGGGGCCAGGCGGTTCTGAGCTGCGTTGATCAGTTTAGAGTCCACTTATCACAGTATAAGACCTCTAAGAAACAAAAATATTTCAAAAATTGTACTAAAAATAAGTTGAAACTCTCAGCACAGATGTCTTCCTTTATCAGACGTATTCTTCCTACCTTCCCAGCCCCCATGGTGGCAGTCTGGCAGCTTGGGTCAGGCCCCTGCCCAGCAGATGGGAGACTCAGGGGGGTGCGGTGGGTGGCAAGGGCTGGGAGCCAACGTCACAGAGCCCCCTGGGGGTTGGGGCTGGTGCCTGCTGACCCGGCTGTCCCCCTGCTGTCCCCCTGCTGTCCCTTACCAGGTGGTATCCTCTGCCTTCCCTGCCGACCGGCAGGAGGACATCCAGCCTCAGCAGCCCCAGGTGGGTGGTGGCCTGCCAGCCAGCCCGGCTTTCTCTGTCAGTTTGCAGGCCTGAGCCCTTCGCACCTTTTTACTGTTACGGGAGGAAAATGCTCTGGACCGTCCCGTGTTCCTCTGATCTGGAATCGGGAGTAGCAGGCCTATTCTGTGCGAGAGTCTATAAAAATCACGCAGTCTTGCTTGGGGGGGTGGGGAAGAGCATTGCTCGGCCTCCCCACCCCGAACTCATCCACCGGGGTCTGCATCCTGAGAGAGGATGGCATTCTGTGCCCACAGGTTCAGGGTGCAGATGGCAGAGCCAGGCCTGGAGCCGCCCCACGGTAGGAAGGAGCGTCCCTCCTGTTGGGGCAGAGGCCCTGGTGTGAGGCCCGAGGCCAGAGCCCCCGCGCAGACCTGGCCAGGGGCCAGGACTGTCACACCCCCTTTCCAGAGTGGATGTGGCCGGAGCCCCTGATGCCAGGGGAGGGGTGCCCCCCTCTCATAGAGCCGTCACTCTGGCCCTGGCGGGCACCAGAGGGGAGTTGAGACTGCGGTCATGATGACTCCAAGCAGCGCAAAAGCTCAGAGCCAAGGTGCCCAGGGAGGGTGCTGGCGGGACTGCAGGCTGGCGTGATTACACTTCCGGCATTGCCAGACTGGAGCCTCACGGATGGGGCTGTCCCCACTCGGGAGAGGGGCTGGTGCTCAAGGTTGCGCGACTTAGAGCCAGCCCCACGCCCTGGGGCCCTGCTCGGACCTAGCCCTCGTCTCCACACTCCAGGCCCTCCTCAGGCTGTCCGGGAGGAAGTCCTGAGGTCAGGGCACCCCCCCTTCCCCTAGGGCTGCAGTCACCGGGGCCTGGAAAACCCGCACCGCCTGTGGTCCCAGGAGGCCCCCCGAGACAGAGACACAGGTCGGCCCCGGGCAGGCGGGGCAGGCTGACCACCATGCGCCCGTCCTCTACGATGAACAGGTGGGTGACCCCGAGATGGGGAACAGCAGCCACAGCCAGGCGCTCTGCGGGTCTCGGGCGGGCGACCTCGTGCCCTGCTGGGGGACAGAGCCTTGGCTTTCTCTGTCGGGTCAGAGACAGGGCCGGAGCCAGACACCGGGGTCGGGGGGGCCTGCTGATGGCCGTCCTCACCCGGCCCTAGGCCTTGGGGGGCCTGGCCTGCAGCCTGTGCATCTGGGTCTTGGGTCTTGCGCCATCCAGCCGTGGCCCTTGCCACCCCAGCCCTCCTTCCTGGACACCGGCTTCTCCCAGGCAGGTGCAGCCAGGAGGGGCGTGGCTGACCCCCTCTCGCACCAGCACCAGGAGAGGGGCCTCCACGCACAGAGCAGGCGGTTGAACTGAACAGGCATTTTATCAAAGGACTTCATGAGGGAATATGCGGTCACTTCCCTTTCTTTGCCCTGGTGCTCAGCTAACTCAAGTTGAACGGACCTGTGCCCTTAGCGGTTATTCTCTGTCACAGCTGTGCTTTATTAACTTCCTGCATGCGGTTAAAGCTGCATTTACTAAGTTCATCGTACTTCGGGGTTTTAGGCCCTCGACCCTCCTGGCACAATAGCGAATAGCTTCTGAAGTGCGTTAACCAGCTGGTAAATACGCTGAAGTCCAAATGCTTCCTTTACCAATGAACTTCCAGACCCTCACCTGAAGTCAGAACGGAGTCAGGATGGCCTGGACCCCGGGCCTCTCTGGGGTGCCCTGCTGCCCCTGCAGCACATCCAGCATAGGGTGAGGTCCAGCTGGTCCCTGGCCTGGGTCCTCAGGCTCCACCTGGGACCACCCGGGATGACAGCTTCATCCGCACTGATGTAAGGCAGCCTGTCTGTGGTCGCTAGGACTGTGGGGACCCGGTGCCTGCCCTGAACACACCCCAACACGGGTTGCATTTCTGGCTTGCTGGTGGTCAGCTGGTTCACAGGCCGTACGCCTCACCACTGGGCCTGCTTCCACAAGCCAGGGACACTGCCCCACCCCCAGGGCCCCCATCCCTGGCCCCTGCTCCAAGCCTGTGGCTTTCCCTGCAGAGGCCCAGTGTGGAACAAGTTGGCAAACAGGTTCCTCCAGGTAAGGGCTCCTGAGCTGCAGGCGGTGGGCAGGGACACTGGGGGAAGGGGGCAGGCATCTGGGGGTGTGGGGAGCAGCCTCTTTGTCCCCTAAGGAGGAGATTGGCTACTTGTGCTTCCCAGTGGGCGTGTGGTCCAGGCAGGTCCTCTGCTCCAAAATATTCCACCTGAGAACCTGCTCTGTCAACCTCCACAGGGCTGCGGGTGGCAGGGGAGCCAGACCCCGGCCCTTCTGAAGACCCCTCTCATGCTGGGGTAAGAGTGGGTGTCACCCCCACTCTTCTGGTATTTGGGGCCCTGAGGCTAGGCCCCATCCCTTCAAATGGCCCTGGGGACTCCAGCTGATGAGCAACTTACAGGCCTATAGCCCCGGCCCCCTGCCACCATCTTTGTCCCCACCCTCAGCCCCAGCTCGAAGGCCACCCCAGTTTGGCCTTGTGCATGGAGATTTGGGGCTTTACAAGCTGACCACTGCCTTTCTGCCTTGTCCCAGGGAGTGGCCGTGGGGGACCCTGAGTCCTTGGTGACCCTCATAGTGCAGTGTGCCTTCACACTGGCCCTGAAGGTCCCAAGAGGAGCTGACCTGTCCAGCCTGCGGACCCTGCTGAGCCAGGCCCTCCCTGACCAGGCCCAGCACGGGCAGCTCAGGTGAGCCAGTCAGAGGTGGGACCTGAGGTCTCTGAGCCTGGCCCAGGGCAGAAGCCCCAGGGCAGGGGATGGAAGAGGGGCTGGTACATCTGTGCCCTGGCAGAAACCCCCCCCCCCCCCCCCCCCCCCCGCTCACTTGGAGGAGTTTCTCTGCAGTTACCAAGACCCCAGCAACGAGGGGCGCTGGGTCCCCCTTGCTAGGGAGGAGGTGCTACAGAGGGCCTGGCGGGACAAGGCGGCCAGCCCTGGGGTCCTGCGGCTCCAGTGCCGGGTGAGCCCCAGGAGAGCCCGGTGTGGGTCCCGGTGCGTGCGGGGCGGGGGAGGCCCTGGGGCCCTTCTGCAGCCGGCCCACCCTGGAGCCCTCCCCTGCCACAGGGAGCGGGCGGCCGGCCTGTCCTCTACCAGGTGGTGGCCCGGCACAGCTACTCTGCCCAGGGGCCTGAGGACCTGGACTTACAGCCAGGGGACATCGTGGACGTCCTGTGTGAAGGTCAGTGGGGCGCTGGGGCCAAAGGGGTTTCTGTGAGCAGATACTATCTGATGTGCCCTAAGGAACACTGACATCCCCTCGCGTGCAGTGGACCCGGCCTGGTTGGAGGGCCACTGTGATGGCCGCATCGGCATTTTCCCCAAGTGCTTCGTGGTCCCAGCTGGACAGTACATGTGAGAAGCCCAACACCCCCACCTGGAGCCCCACATACCCCAAGTCCAGTGAGGAAATCAGCCCTAGGAAGTCCCGTGGCAAGAACGGTTTTAATAAAGCAATCTTCCCCCTACTAAGGTGTGGTCTGTGTTCTTGACTTGTCCACTGTGAGGGCCTGATGGAGGCTTTGAGGATGGGGGATGGGGCTGCTCCCAGAGAAGCCTAGGAGCCTGGATACCTCCCCTCAGGCTGAGTGATACCCCCGTTCGGGCCGGGCCCCTCCGCCAACCTCCTGAAGCCCTGCCAGCCTCTCCCAGGGAGCCGACCCCTTCTTCAGCAGTCACTCCCACGTCCGGGCTTGACTGGGCCCCATGTCCCGCTAACACTGAAGGTCACAGAGCCTTGGAATGCTGCAGGGGCCCCTGTGGCCTGGCACTTATCACCTGTCGCCCTGGGGAGGCCACAATACCTCCTGCATCCACGGGGGCCATCTGACCGCGGGGCCAGAGCCCACGGGACAAGGGGACCCGGCAGGGGTCAGGAGATCAGGGAGGCTCTGACCAGCTCAGACCGTGGGAGCTGAGCCCGTGCCTTCCGCCATCAGGCGGCCGCCCAGCTTAGCCCTGGGGCCAGAGGAGCTGGCCTGCCACAGCCCCCAGAGTAACCGCGAGAGTCAGCACGGCAAAGACGACCCCGGCCGCCCAGATGCCATAGCTCTGTGCCCGCCACCGGGCAGGCACCTCGGCCGGGATCATGCTGGTCACGTTCAGCATGTAGCCCAGCGTCCAGCCCATCTCCGTGCCACCAGCCTGTGGGACACACGGGCTGCTCAGTGCCGTGGGCGGCTGCCCTGGAGCCCCTGACCCACCCTCGCCCTGGGCCAGGTGGTCACCTGCTTGCGGAACTCGATGCCAGGCCAAGTCTCCTCACTGAACCCGTAGCCCTCAAGCAGCAGCGTGAGAATATACAGCCCCGAGGTACAGTAGTCACGAAGCCAGCGGTCCTGCCCGGGCGAGCTGGCCTCCACCTGGGGGCCCGGGAGGTGAGGAGCCCGTTGGTGTCCCCGCTCCCAGCCTCCCAGGCACAGGGTCCCACCAAGTCCCTGCCTGCTGCTGAGGTCTGTGCCTGTGACAGCCGCAGCTCGGAGACCCAGGGCCGGCCCTGGGATCCACCCACCTGCTTCCAGGGCCTCTGGCAGAACTCCCAGATGGTGGCGTTGACAGTGGCCAGTGGCTGCTTGGAGGTGAGATTCAGGAAGTGGAAGGTGTAGTAGAAGTTCGAGAAGGCCTGGGGGCAGAGGGGGGTGATGAGCTGTGTGTCTTCCCTGGGCACTGGGGTGATGCCCGGTGGGCCCGGGTCAGAGGAGCCCTGGACAAACCAGGCAGAGTCCCCACCTGCCCCCATGCGGGGCCCCAGAGTTCCCAAGAGCCTGCCTGTGCAGGGCTCACCCTGGGCCCACCTGGGGTCAGACCCCTGGGGCCCGCGGCCGTGGAAGGAGGCTGAGACCCTGGGGAGGACAGGGAAGGGAGCTCACATAGAACGGGCCCCGCACAGGGGGCTGGTAGACCCCATTGAAGGCACAGTGTCCTCGGCCCTGGCAGCTGGAGAAGTTGAAGAGGCCCCGGATGGCTGAGATACAAGCCCCGGGGTTCCCTGTCCCTTCCACAGTGAGGTTCCCGGCCAGCTCTGGAGGGGCTGCTGTGTGCACACAGGGGGACTCGTAGAGGGCGGCCGGGGACAGTGTGGCCCAGTAGCCGCTGTGGTAGCATGGGTGGCGGACCAGGGAGCCGGAGCTGCTCTGCGGGAGGGCAGGGAGGTGGCCTTGAGCCCAGCCCAGGGCCACAGGCCGCCCCAGCTCGCCTCCCCCTCCTCTGTGGCCCAGCCGACCTGCACCAGCTGTGCCAGAAGCCTGCTCAGCATCTGGTCCCGCCCGAAACAGAGGTAGCTGTGCGTGTAGACACTGTGCTCAGATCCGTAGAGGCGGAAGGTGGTCTGGGTGCTCTTGTCCAGTATGGGGCCTCCAGGCACAAAGGTGATCTGGGTGGAGGCTCCACCCATGTCCAGGGCGCCCACCAGTGTCCCCTCCAGAGGCTGGATCCATTCTCCAGAGAAGGAGTACTGAGCACAGACAGGGGGCACTGAGTCCTGGGACCAGCCGCATTGACCCACCGCCCCTGGTCATCCAACCCCCACCCTCGGGCTGCACACAGCACCTTGACCAGCATGCCCAGGACGTAGTTAATGGTGATCCAACCTAAAGCACCCTCGTCCTGCCCGGCCAGAAGCTCAGCACCCCAGAAGTCCAGGGGGGACTTGCCCAGGACCTGGGTGACCGCCGCGAAGATATCTCTTGCCTGAGAGCTATTCTTCTGGCTGGACAGAAAAGACCAGCAGCCCGAGCTGGCAGGAGACCCACACCCACTCCACTCCGCCCGCTTGCCCAAGGCATGGACACCACCACGGCTCTCGGAGCTGTTCCTCACGGATGCGCCACAGGCCCCAAGTCAGCCCAGCTCACCTGAGTAGCCTCATGCCAGCCGTGGCCCCCAGGAACAGGGGCGTCTTCCGCTGCTGTGCCTCTGGGATCAGCGCCAGCGCTTCCTCCAGGCAGCCCTGCAGGCTCTCACCGGCTTGTGCAGGATTGGAGGCATAGGAGGAGATTCCAGGCCCTGAAACACAGCACCCCAGGACGAGGCTCCAGGCCTGAAGGCTGGGCCGGGCCAGAAGGGCCTGTGGGGAGTTGAACAGTGTCTCCGCCCCCCACCGCCCCCAAAAGGTATGCCCATGTCCTAACCACTGAGATCTTTGAGTGGGATTTTATTTGGAAAAGGGATCTTTGCAGATGTAATTAAGTTAAGGGTTTTAAGATGGGATCATTCTGGATTCCCTGGGTGGGCCCTAAATC